AGGTGTTTTTCAAAATATTCTCTGGCATTGTCTGATCTGAACACCTTTGTTCGTGTTCCAAACTGTGTTAGCACCATCTGATGAAATTGCCTTACCACAAGGATGGTACCTCATCTCGAGATCTCATCAAGTAAACCCAAGAATATCAAGAGAAATCATCCACAAATAAGAGAAAATGTCGAAAACCACCCATAGAAGGAACATGATAAGGTCCCCACACATCAGAATGAATAACGTCAAAAGAAGAAGAACACCTTTTATTACTAGCTTTAAAGGAATGTCTACAATGCTTTCCAAGTTGACAACCTTCACACTCCAGACTTGACAAACTAATAGACTCAAATAGTTTTGGAAACAAAAGACTCAAAGAAGAAAAAGGAAAATGACCCAAACAATTATGCCAAAGCATAATCTAACCCACAAACCCTGACTCATTGTCCCTGTTGACATGATGACTCTGATGAGGAGGAAGCACATCCAGGAGGTAGATTCCATTCACTTCACGACCACTCCCAATCGTCCTCTTTGAATCTAGACCCTGCAAGATACAATGACCAGGAGAAAAAATTATTGAGCAGTTCAGGTTCTTAATCAAACTACTAACAGATAACAAATTAGTGCTCAATTTGGGAACATGAAGGACAGAGGAAAGGGAAATGGAATGACTAATCTTGACAGACCCCTTCCCAGCAATGGGAACATGAGATCCATCAGCTGTGGGGACCCTATCTTTGCCAGAATAGAGCTGGTAAGAGGAAAAAATAGTGGAGCTATGGGTCATGTGCTCAGAGGCTCCAAAATCTATAATCCAAGGAGGTCCCTCCTTACTTGAAGTAGAAAAAAAATTTGCAGTGGCATGTGAACTACCTGTGTGAGCAAAGGAAGTAGAGTGAACTCCACTAGAACCACCTGAACCTTGCTGTCTGCCTATTGCTGCACTAGAACTGGCTGTATCCCATTGGTTGAAAAACTGCCCATACCTCTTAAGTTCGACCCTTACTGCAGCAATTGCAACATACTCCAGAGCAGCTGTAGTAGGAGGGGTCAGAATTTCACTAGTGACTGCCATGTGAGCATTTCCCTTCTTATTTTTGAGTCTACTTGGCACAAGATGTGGATGAAGCTTCCAGCAAGTATCTCTTGTATGTTTAGGCTTCTTACAGTAGTCACAAAGGCATATGCCTGGGAGAGGGTAACACTGTCCCTGGAAAGAATGTGCTGTCTTGCAATATCATACTCGGGATTAAGGCCAGCAAGAAATTCAAACACCTTATACTTGTCTAGGTGTTTTTGGTAGGCAGCTGCATCCTTAGTGGTTTCCCAAGCAAATGTCTTTAAATGGTCAATCTCCTGCCATAGGGTTTTAAGGGCTGAAAAGAAAACTGCAATAGTTCTATCTCCCTTCCTTGTAGCAATAATCTGATTTCTCATTTGATAAGTCCTAGCAACATTCTTCCTCTGTGAATAGGTTTCTGCAACCCCATCCCATATTTCCTTAGATGTATTTGCGCATAAAAAGTTTTTACTTATATGGGGCAACATGGAATTACATAGCTAAGTCATCACCATATAATTCTCCTGTACCCATCGAGAGTTGTTAGTTTCGGGTTTCACTTCTTCACCAATGATATACCCTAACTTCCCACAAGCACCAATGGCCATCTTTGCAGATTGTGACCATTCTAAGTAATTCGAACCATCCAAATTAACTATAGTAATGGTCTGAGCCCTTGGAAAGGTCTCCAACACCTCCTTCCATTGGTCTATTTCACTCCCGGGCTTGTTTTCAACTCCGTTACCCTCCATACTTCTCGAAAGGTGCAAAGAAAATTACTATAATATGCAAGAAGATTAAATGAAACACTTTTGGAACCAATGACACTTTTCTGGTGCCCTAGATGGTCCTCTCACAAAAGATTCATTTTCTGCAGGACGGGAGAAGAGAGAGAGGAGGCAGCCGCTCTCTCCAGAAACCTCCAAATCAAGTAGGACTTGAACCGCCCTTACAGAAAACTCCAAGGAACCCTAAAAAATTAGGGCGCCACTTCCTAGGTCAAAATTGAAGAGTCCAACAGAAACAGGACTCTTCCTCTTTCTCCAATTTTTCCTGATTTTGATGAGAAACCCTAGACCAGCTACAGGGCAAAACAGATTCACCAAAAAATCCAAAAACTGGGCTTACCTGAGATCTTTGATCAGCCTCTTAAATCACCATGCAGTCGGCCGATCTAGGGCTTAATGAGAAAACAGCTCAAGGAACCTTTGGCCTTGCTCTGATACCAAGTAGAAATCACTGTTTGTTAATCAGGATGAATTCCTTGTGAAGAGAAAGAAGAAGAAGATGAAGAGTTTCAGCAGTAGAGAAGAAAAGAGAAGAAAGAAAGAGTGGGATGATAACCAGAATTGAATTAGTTCTAGCTGCCAACCCCTCATTATATTTTATACTTAACTTAAAAGAATGAAAGATTACAAGAATGCCCTTAGTAGGGCGGCTACTAAAGTAGCTGAACAGTCACAACTTAAAAAACATAAGCTAATGGGCCTAAAGCCCAACAACTTCCTAACTTAACAACTTAAAATAAGAACAAAACAATTGGGCCCAATAACTAGAAATTGGCCCAACTCAACCACCTGCCCAAGATTGCTAGAGGATGGGATAGTATTTTTGTGGTTGTGGACAGATTTTCAAATACGGCTTACTTTATTCCTTGTAAGATAACTCATGATGCAAGTAAGATTTTACTGATATTTTCTTCAAGGAAATAATTTGATATCATGGAGTACCTACTACTATTACTTCTGATAGAAACTCTAAATATATGAGTACCTTTTGGAAGGTTCTTTGGCAGAAACTTGGTGCTAAGCTTCAGTTTAGCAGTACTTGTCATCCCCAAACTGATGGACAAACTATAGTTTTTGATAAAACTTTAGAGAACATGTAAAGACTAGGCAAAAGTGTGACTTAGCACTAAAAAAGCTGGATTTTGAGTTCAATTTCTCAAAGAATAGAACCACTGGACTTTTCCTCTTTTGGAATAGTCTTTGGAAGGAATCTTCAAAGACCATTTGACCTTTTCCTATTCCTAATCTCAAACACCACAACAAGAAGGCTGAAGATGTCATTGCTGAATTGGAGAGGACTAAGTTTTGAAGAAAGCTATGCCAGATACAAAGCAAATGCAAATAGACACAGGAGAGAACTAAGTTTTGAAGTGGGAGATGAAGTATGGGACTATCTTTCTAAGGAAAGGTATCCATATGGTGAATTTCACAAATTGTGAAATTGAAGCCCAAGAAAATTGGTCCTTGCTAGACTTTGGAGAAAATGGGAGCCAATGCATAGAGTTCAATTACCTCTAGAACTTAAAATTAGTGATCCTTTCAATGTGAAGCATTTATCATCTTACCATGGGGAGCATGATCTAGATAACTCGAGGGCAATTTATTTTCAAGAGGGGGTGAATGAGGCAGTGCATCCCTTGGATATCAAAAATATTGATGAAAACTTTATTTGATAAAAGGGAGCATCCAAATTTTCATAAACTATATGAAAAGAGAAAGATGACCGAGGAAGGAAAAGCAGCTCATTAGCAGCCCAATAGTCAAGCCAAAGTAGCATCAGTTGAGTCCAGTTTCTGTTAGGTTTCTAGTATATTAGTTTTTATTTTTTTTAGAATTACTATTAAAAAGTAAGTCGGAGTTCTACTTTTTCTAAATAAATCAGTTTCCTATTATAAGTTAGTTTTCCATTGCAAGTAAGTTTCCTTTATCTTTTGCAAGTCAGTTTCCTTTTTCTTTTTGGAGTCTTATTGTAATTAAGTCTTCCCTATTATAAAAGGGAGGGCTAGTAAAGCTTTTGGGAGTAGAATTGATATTTGAAGTTAATTAATTTTCGGATTACTGTTCACGCTACTGAAATCTGCCTTACTAGAGTCAGGTAACCCTAGACTCTTTCCCTTCTTTACTCTTTTATTGAATATAGCTCTTTCTAATTTTGTGGATTAGACGTTGTTCCAAAAACTAGAAGCTGAATAAATTACTGGGCTAAGAGACTTTGTTCTAAGAATTTTTGGTGAGTTAATTAAAATACAGTCTACCATTCGATGCTGCGCTACAGCCTAATGGAAGCCAAGATGTCATTGAAATGATCTTTCCTGACATTGGTTTTTCTAATGCTTTGTGCATGAGTCATTTTTTTTGGCTTTTGTAATGTGCTTTGTGAGGACCAAGAAAAGATTTGGGGATGGCCGTGATTTTTATTTCTGTTTATAATTTCTACTGGATTGAGGTTGTTCTATTTACTCCTAATTGTGTAAAACTGAATTTTCAATTACTAGCTTACACGTTGCTAATACTATTTTCAGGACAGATTTTTAATAAAATGCTAGAGTAGGTAGTATCTCTTTCATACCAAGTTAGGAGCTCTTTCTTTCAACTAACACTGGTTGAATGTGATGCTGATCATAGGCTTATAAAACTTCCATTTTATGATTCTGAGACATGCATATTATTTCGTCATCTGTTTGAACTCCTTAGACTCCAAGATGGTGCAGTAGAAAAATTAAAACAAAAAGTAAGCATCAATATTCTTGATCTTAAAATTTTTCTTTTTCCAGTTTGATATATTTAGGTCTGTGAAATTATGTTTTGAGGTGGCCAAGATGTTCTTATCCTGTAGGTTGTTAACACATAACTATTCATTCCAGAAGGTGAGATTCCCACCTTAATTTGAGCTAAAGAGAGATTATTGTCTATAAGTAAACAACCACTGTTCAGTAATGCCATAAGTGTTCGAAATTCATTTTCACATTTCTTATTTTTGGTATATTGTGGTTTTTATATAATTTAAGTAAATCATGGTTGATTTGACTATACATTTTTAGTCTTTTTGTGTTTGCTTCATACAATTTATAATTTACTTATAGTGAAATAACTTGTTATTTGAATACATTGAATTTTGTAAACCTAAGGTTAGGTATTTTTCCATTTCACTCTTTCAGCATCAGGCTTGTTCTCCACCACCAAATTTCAGAATGTGATGTCCAGTATACTTTGTCATGCATTCAGGTGATAAATAGTTCTACCTAGTCTTTATTTCCCATGGATTTTATTAGATTTGTAAGGCTGATATTTGATTATATGAATATTGCAGCAAGCTGTTCAACTCCAAGTTGAAAATGTTAGAAATTGAGATTTGTCTGGTGGCCCTCGATGACTCCTGCTCTGTCTCAGAAGAATGACTTCCTTTTCTTGTTAGAAAGATGTTTGGAGGTTGAAATAATAGGAAATATGTGCTGTGTCAAATTTGTGAACTCTGGATATTTTGTTTCTAGTTTATTTTTTTTTCCTTTACCTACTTATCAAAAGCATTTCTTCTTCTTCCATTTCCTTTTACCTATCCAAAGAATTCTATTTCCATTTTCATTTCTCAAGCAATTTCTATGGCTTTTGTAGGTTTTATTTACCATGTCTATCATCATAGCATTATCACAGTCTTTGAGTTGGTTGCGTGAACCCTGCCTTGCCTTTGCATTCTATATTGAATGCTTACTTTTACAGGCTAATTGGGTTGTCTCAGTTAATAGGATAGTTACAGATTTCTTAACAGTCTTAAGTTGATTAACTTGTAGAGCTTGATATAGTCTTAAATTTGTCTCCATGATGGGTTAGAAACTTCCCATAGCTTGGATATTGAGTTTTGGTTCCCATCCTGGTCAATCAAACAAATATGTAAGTAATCCATTGGCACTGGTTGGGAAAGGAGAGAAGATCAAGACTGTTGCTTTTCAGAAAACAGAGGGGTTGGATCTTCATACAGTGAACTCATGGCAAAAGGTTAGTTGCTTTTCTTAATCAATATACATATTTGTACCGTTTCCTATCAAAAGAAAAAAAGTCAATATACATATTTGTGTCCTGGGGCTAATAACAACACTTCTGGGTCGTGAGAAATTTCAGTAACTGATAATAGTTGGTATGAGAGCTAACCCACAGTTACCAAAGTTAATCAGCTTAGTTTAAATTCTTTAATGGTTCAAAACATGCTGCTCTCCATGTTTTGATTCAGAATCAATTTTGTTTGTTTGATTGTAAATTCTTTAGAAAAAGTATGTATTGTTTATGGTTCTTTTGGACTATGACAGATCATGGGACCTCTCTTTCTTTCTCTCTCTTTGATATTTGGTATTTAATTCATGTGGGAACATTCAAGCTATGTTTTTCTACAATTTTATGATGTGGAATATGTTGGAGCATTTGGTTTCTATATTTATTTTGTAACATTCAGATTTTTCTAGAGATATTTTTTTTTTGATCAGCAAGAAATATATTTTATTTATTGTTTAAATTGAACCACAGAAAATTAGTACAGCTTATTGATGGGAGTGCCATTCCCAACTTTTAATCCCAAATTACTACAATTTTCAGTCCCAAGTTACATAGCCACCCAAAATAATTGTTGCCTCAAAGCCCCTTGTTTGGCAAAGGAATCAGCTAGCCCATTTGCACTCCTTCTGACCCACTTGGTTTTTCTAGAGATATTTGTCAACAAACTTCGACTTTCCAGTGACCTGCATGCACTCTGTGACCTTCCAGTCCTTGCACAGTCGAAAATGATGGAGCTTTTGGCCAGTGCCAACAGATGACTCTAAACTTAGCATATAGTAATTTTATAGTTTTGTTTTATTTTCTTCTTTTTTGTAAGAAAAATTCACAAAATACCCTATTAATATGAGGACTCAATAATTTTCTACTTGTTAGAGAATATCAACCTATTCAAGGATCTCTCCTAACAGCTTAAGCTTTTAGGTTGAATGGTTCTTTAAGATGGTATCAGAGCCATTTTGACCAAGTGGTCTAGTGTTCGATCCTCGTTACCCCCATTATAATTAAATAAGTTTCAACACAAGGTATGGGTGGGTCTGTGCTTGTTCACACTAAGTTAAGAGCCTGGTATATGGAATCCTTCAAGGCATTTGCTAGTAGTGTGATCAAGGTTCAAAGTATTGGTATTGCAAAGAGTATTATAAAAGTGACTTTAGGATATGCATTGGGATACACTTATGAAATGCTTGAATATGGTGGAATGATTAGGATATTCATGAGTACACTAGGGAAAGTCATATACATCCCACAAATGCATCAGTAACTTAAGTCTAGGCTCAAATGACTATGGATACAATATAAATATACAAGGAATACATATTTTAAGAATTTTGTGAAGTATGAACTACTGGATACACTTGAAAAATGTTGGAAAATGGTGGAAGAATTAAAGAAGCCACTATAAATCTCTTAATACCTTAAAAGTACTATTGTTAATGATCGATTAAAGTTTTCTTTCTTTATTTATCTATTTTTTGTTAATTTTCTGGGTGATAAGGAATGAGTATCTGTATATATCTGCTGACAGTTATGGATATTATTGATCGATATAGACTGGCATGAGGTGGGATTGCATAGATGCCCCAGCAATATTTTTCCTGTGCTGTGCACTGACCCATTGAAAATCTGATACAATATGCCATGTATCAGATGCATCATATCAATATTTTGAACCTTGGAATTGGATGTGTAGTGAATAGGAAGATTGGTTACTTGGGTAATGTTTTAGTACTTAATACACATTTTATACATTGGTAGGTTGTCTATAAAGCTGAAAACCCTCAAGATTAATGTGTATGATGATATTTTAATTAAGTTCATATTCAACTCCCTACATAAAGTATATGATTAGTTGAAGATTGCCTTTTCCACATACAAAGAAAATTAGAGTATAGATAACTGGTACCTGTGATATCTAAAAAAGATGATAAGCTACAGATAGCTCCAAGTGCCCATATAACACTGTTTGAAACAGGAAAGAAAAAAAAAACAATTACAAATACAACCAAATAATTCTGACAATCAGAACGACTCAAGACTTCATGATGTGAATACAGTGAAGTTTAGATGCAACTACTGCAAGAGATTTGGACATAAGAACAGTTTCAAACTAAAGAGACATAAAGAAGAGAAAAAGGCTTATCAACAACCACCAGTTTAGAATTAGGAAACAAGTACTGAAGATTAAGGAATAGTGAGTCTTCTAACTGCTTTTAATTTACTTGTAGTTGGAAGTTTTATTTTAAATGGTTGGACTCTATATTTAATAATTAGTCAGTTTTAAGACTTGTACAAAAAAAATAAAATAAAATTGGTTAGTTTTAAGTATGTTGAGATTGTATGAGGCAAGAGTCTTTTTGATATTTCTTGCCTTTTTGTATTTGGGTACCCATATGAGGGCTTTCAAGTAATTTCTCTCACATAATATAAATTTCATGTTTGAGAGAGTGAACAGTAACACTCTCTCCTCCATTTGTTACTATCTCTCCTATTTCTTCTTCTCTTTTTTTTTTCGATGAATAATTTGAGTTTTATTAAAATACTTTATGTAAAATCAGTACAATCATCCCTTAGAGAGGCACGAGCTGCTACCTCTCATACAAAAGAAAACACATTACAATTGTGCCCTGAATAAAATAGACCTGTTCACCCCTTGTTTAGCTAAAGCATCTGCCATCCCATTTGCTGATCTTCTCACCCATTGTATCCTTAAATTCATATTCCTGGTTAGCTATGTAAATTTTTTCATTTCACTCCTATAGCTCCAAATTATAGACTCAGGATTCCTTAGCCATTCTACCACTTTCAAGTCCCCTTCTATCACCACATTTGTCAAGTTTAGCTTACTAACTATCTGCACCCCTTGAATTGCAGCAAGCAGTTTAAGAGAGTCCCCCCATACTTGTAGGGCCAAAAAAAAGTGCTCTACGTTTACCTTTTCCATCTCTCACCACCCCTCTACTTTCAGAAGGGCCTCGATTACCTCAACTACTTCTCAATTCTTCCATATATCATCAAAGGTGAACTGGAAGAACAACTCCAGAGTCTTGATCCAGTGGATCACCCTAACCATCACACAAATCCTGATTTCTTGCTTCTCTCCCGTAAGATGATTCTTGCATTTTTCCGTTTACAAATGGTCCAAAACAAGACTGCTTTGACACATCTCCACATTATCCTCCCTCTCTTCTTTAGCCAAGTAAAACAGGAGGGATCAAATAACATAGTAACCTCCGTAGGTAACATCCACCTGCACCCAAACAAAGAAGAAAACCAAAGCCAAAATTTGCAACAAAGGGGCAGGAAATCTGTAAGTGACAACAACTCTCATTACTGGATTTGCATAAGATTCACCAGTTTGGGGAGAGGTAAGAATTAGGTCTTCTGTTCTGAAGCAAGTCCATAGTATATATCTTCTCGTGAACTACTTCCCAGTAGAGGGCTCTTACTTGGTCTTCTCTTTCTTCTTCTCTTCTCTTCTTCTTCTTCTTGCTCTCTCAACAAAACCCTAGATATTGCAACTTGGTATCATAGCCAGTTTGACCAAGTGGTCTATTGTTCGATCCTCGTCATCCCCAATTATAATTAATTAAATTTCAGCACAAAGTATGGGTGGACTTGTGCTTGCCTATGCTTCAAGCCATGGGCTTTCATGTGAGGGGGTGTGTTGGAGAATAAAAACCTATTCAGGGGCCTCACCTAATATCTTAAGCTTTTAGGTTGAATGGTTCCTTGAAATGGTGTCAGAGCAACTAGAAGCTCTTGGGAGAATCTTCTTCTGCTGATCTTTGCTTGGAGGATGAATTGCTAACATCAAACTGTTGTTGGATGACGTTAGCAGTCTGTATAGGTGATGGTGGAAATCCCTAAAAACTACATGGTTGACTCACCTTGATTTTAGATGAATTTTGATGCCTTGTTGCTTTTTGATTTCTCTATGATTTATTATGGATTTTTCAAGTGGAAAATCGCAGAAATTCCAGATCTGGTTATGAGGCTTGTTTCTCTTGTTTGATGGGTTCTCATCTTGCGAAACCTGATTCTCTTAGGTTGTTTTATATCTTGGGAATGATGGTAAGTGATCCCTTAGTTTTTTGAACCCTAAAATGTTTTTGGGAGTTTTTCTTCTTCCTCTATTTTTCTGCTAGCTAGCTTTTTGGCCCCTATTTTGGCCTTTAGCTGAATTGACCCACTTTTTTGGGTTGTTTGTGTTCCAGTTGGGTGTTGGGGTCTTCCTTGGTTGTTGAGGAAGTTGTTGGTAAAGTATGGAATCACCAAATGATGTATAGATGGGCTCGAGTGTGTTTCCAGAAAATGTTGATGTTTCCACTGGTATGATAACCACTATAAAACTTGATGGAAGAGTGGTTCCAATCGGCTAAGCTTACCATCATAGGGAGAGGTAAGTTGAGATTTGTTTTCTCTGTTGCTACAGTAGTCCGAACCAGTAGAAGAGGAGAAGAAGAAGAAGAAGAAGAAGAAGAAGAAGAAGATGAAAGAACAGTCAAACCTAATAGGTTAAACCCTATTAGCCGACCCTTAATATTGATTAGGCTCTAGTTAGTAGTATAAAGACTAAACTGCCCCCACTTAAGTATGTGACAAGAAGTCTCTATAAAGACTGCCACATA